GTAATAATAGTAATAATCTGACAGATATGGTCAGTGTAGTCTCTACCAAATGTGTAACATCATGTAAGTGTATTTAAAATACAAATTACATAGATAATTCACATCAAATCTATCTAGAACCGAAATGGTTTTCGTTGCCTTTTTGTTTACAAGATCTTTAATTGTGGAGGTGTAAATACCGAGTTCCTTTCTGAAGTTGATCGTGTTAGGTTTAGAGTTTGACCATTTCTTCTTGTGAATGTGGAATTTTCCCAGTAGGAGTAGAAGTTGAAGTACATCAAGTCTTTATCCATGTCTTTATCAACAAAGCATAGAATAATGTCTTTCTCAGTAAGTTGAACTATTTGTCCAGTTTTCAGTCTTATAAACTGTTGTACATCAGTCCAAAATGTTTTTGTATGAGTACATTGATAGAACAAATGAGAAATAGTTTCCATGTGTAGGTCACAGAATGTACAAGAATAGTCAATGTCCAATTTAAATCTTTCCAGTGTTTTATTTTTAAGCTGGGTATACATTATGAGCAATTTTATATGTAACCTCTTTGATTTTATTTGTTACGCAAAATTTCTTTCCGTTTAACCAAAACTGATTCCAGTTAACTTCACCAAATCTAGAAGACCAAAAGAATCTACCAACAAGTAAAGAAATCTTCTGAAGACACATTTTGATAACTTTGTTGGGACATGTTTTTTTAGTGATCTCCACTTCACCTAACGTTATGAGACTTTTATGTATATCTGTAATATGAGGTTTTGTTCTTTAAACAATTGCATCACAGCAGTTGGTAAAGCATCAAAAACTACAGCATATTCTTTGGGAGTTACAGGTATGTTAAATCTGTTCAGAAATTCAGCGTATGACATACTGTAAGTGTTCCATTATCATTTAGAAGTTGTTGGACAAGCACAATACCATTATCCATTCAGTTCTTATARTAAATTGATTTATTCTTATATGTTCCCATTGTTCCAGATGTAACATGTAGTCGGTGAGAAGTTGTGTTTGTCAGCAAGTTTCCAAGCAAGGAGAGCTTGTTGATGAAATCTGGATAATTTAGTAGGTAACTTTTCAATTTTATAATCACATTTTAATAAAAACTGTAGTCCACCCAACAGGTTAAACATATGTTTGGGGAAGGTATTCCAAAATGTATCATTTCCTTTTAGTAAATTGGTTAACCATTTAACTTTAAAAGAATTATTTAGCATTTCAAAGCTTAGGGCATCTAATCCACCAAATGGACAATTATACAACATCAACAGTGGCAGCTTGTCGATAGAGGGCAGTACGGCGCCGCCGCACCACTACTCTTGCTACACAAAAAAATAAAAATAAAATAACAAAATAAATTCTTATAAATATTTCGAAAAAAATATCGTATGTATGTTTTTTTGATAAGTAAAATAAATAATTTTAAGTTATTGATGTGTAAACTTCCATTTTACTCATGAACTTTTTCGTGTTGTCACTTCCAGG